TAGTCTCAATGTCACATACACATGTACACGGTAACCGGGCGCGTAGCCTCAATATCTACGTACACGGTAACCGGCAACCGGGCGCCTCTCATTATGTATGAACACGGTAACCGGGTATTTTGTTTCATGGGGGGGTGGGGGGTGGCGCTTGAGCTAGGTGCACGGTAACTGCTTCGCTCCCTTCAAAACCTTGACCTTTTTTCTTTTTCACTCCGCTTTTTGGGGTTGTGAGTGGGCGGAATGTAATCCTACAAATGATCCCAATCTACCCCTTGTCATCTTTCCTAAGGGAGAGCAAAATGCAGTGACACTGAAAACCTACGAATCTGGAACAGAAAGCTAAAATATTTATAAATGTTTACAAAACATGTAATAATATCACGAGAGAGAGAGAACAAGACTCAGAAAACAGAGAAAGGGAGAGGGAGAGAGAGAGAGAGAATAAAAGAGTATGCACTTGATGAGGTCATACCTCTCTTAAAACAAAGGACAATGAAACAAACGTACTATCACCCATCCAATGAAACGCGGACCTTTTAGTTAAAAAACACAGCTTACTAGGTTTGAGCCATGACGGATCCCAATTCCGTAAGGGCTTGCACCAATGCATGCTTTTTCGTAGCAGGAAGCTCTAGTAATAATCAAAATTCTAAATACTAAAATTTGCTTCCATTCCAAGTTCAGTTTTTGTCATCCAGTGTTGCCTTCAACCCCACCCCTCCCCCAGGCTGTACCTTTTTAAAAAATCGATAATAATCCCCCCATTCCGGAGCCCTATACTTCGCACAGCGCACACTTTGAATGAACTTTGGTGACCCCAACGATCACTGGTACTCACAATGTGATGCGAAGGTACAGGCTCACTGACCGGTCACGATGTCGAGCACGACAAGACGCCTGTATAGCTTTCTTTTTTTTCCGCAAGTGAAAGCAAAGGACAATGATATGTTTTCCTGGCGACACAGCATTTGTATGCACAACCTGTATGTTACAAATGTTGCGTTAATCAGACTGCTACCGGCAAATTTCTGGGTGGTAACGAAAGCGAAAGTAGATCGAGTTTCGCTACCACGCATTCACTTACGCTTGCAGCCAAAGCGCCCTGTTCATACCTAAAACTATCTTTTGTTTTCGTAAGAGTTAGCACTTGCAACACAATAAGTTCATATAAATAAGTGCCGAAGATTAGAGGTGTTAGTGTTACAAGAGAGTAACAAACACAAAAACAAGGAAAGAAAAAAGATTTTTTGAATAGGAGAGAAGGAGCAGACCACACCAGAGCACCCACCAACCACCCACTAATACTATCTTTACACACAAAAATACATAAAAACACAGAGAGAGAGGGGGGGGGAGGGGAGAGGGAGATGATACTGAAAATCTGCGAATCTTGTACAGAAAGCTAAAATATAGAGATCTAACTGTCACCAATCCAATGAAACGCGAACACTTAGGCCGTTTTCACACAAGGCCTGCACCAACGCACACTTCGCTTAGCAGAGAGCTGTAGTAGTAATCAAAATTCTAAACATTAAGGGGGGGGGGGCTACACCCCAAAATCAAAATTCGGCTCAAAATCATGGAATTTGCATTGCAGGCATTTTTAGCTTCCTCAACCTCTCCTACAACTATTTCATGGCATAAGAACCCCCAAAAGCCATATTTTTACCCACACCGGGCATGTTTGTAACCACCATTTCCTCATAAAGTCTGTATTTTATTTTTCTTTATCGGCCGTTTTCTCAAAATGCGACTTTTCTCTATACTTTTTTGAATAACTCCACCATTTTTCATCCAATCTTCATGAAATTTTCACAGAATGAAGAGAAGAGGTAATACTAAAAATTTGTATGATTTTTGATATATATGGAATAAATTTTTGTTGGTGGTGTTTGGACTGGATTTTCACGGATTTTTCGCAAACTTGAATGCCACCTCAGGAAAAAATTCATTAAAAATTTTCTAATTCGGTTAGGA